GGACAGGCTGGGGAAGGCATGGGGAGGCATTTAAATGCCTCCCTGATCCTTCGAGGGCCCGTCCCCCCCCCGGCCTTGGAGTCGCGGGGGTGGTGGTGTCACTCTCCAGGCCTTCCCTCTATAGCCACGCACGCAGAGGTTTTGGCTGTAGTGGGTGTGGCCAACTCTGAAGCCAGCCGGAACTCTGTTCCTGTGCGTTCCTGCCCCAAAATAGCCCTGACTTGCGGGCCATGTGGGCAGTGACGTAGACACATTGCTGTATGTTGGACAGGCCTCCCTGCTGGTCCTGGTAAGTCACCCCTCCTGGCAACCCTAGTCACAGTTCTCTCAGAACTCTCTCAGCCCCACCTACCTTACAAGGTGACTGTTGTGGGGAGAGAAAAGGAGAGGCAATTGTAAGCTGCTTTGAGACTGCTTGGGGTAGAGAAAAGTAGGCATAAAAACCCTTCTTCTCATCTTCTTCTTGAGGTTAAAATGTAATTTCTTTGTGTTTTTAGAAGGCTTGAGGTTAAAAATGTAATTTCTTTGTGTTTTTAGAAGGTGTTTGTATGCAACTTTAAACTTTGAGAGATATTTCCCACTAATTACATGTGTATCAGCTTCAGTATTTGCAAAACAGGGACCTGGCAGGTCTCTCAGAGGGGAGGGGAAACCCCACCCCACTCTCCCCTGCTTTGTTGTTTGTACTTTTGCCTTTCCTGCCACCCTCTGTTTCGTCTGTTCAGTCTTTGCTCTTCTGTAACTGACTGCATCCTCATCCCTCATTTCCACTCTTTGACTTGGCTTCCTTTCTCTCCTCATCCTTGAGCTCACTTTCCCCCATGCCAGCCCCCCTCCCTGCACTGGCTCTGCTCTCCCCATTTTGTCCTCACCTTCCTCCCATTCAGCTCCCCCTTCTTATTATTGTGGCTACTGCTGCCAGTGCCTGCCACAGTGTTCGGACAACCTCTCGTTGTGTTCCAGAGAATCTAGAGGGGGGTTTAGCATCCTCTGCCAATCATCAGACAAGCCACCTGGTACTCAATTCTCGGCAGAGGGCATTGAACAGTACCACCTGAGGCAGAAAGTTCATTGCTGTGAGGAGTCACCTCAGCAACCCAAAATGCTGACTGAGAAATCTTGTTCCTTTCTTTGTGTGCAGATAAGCAGACACCAACATTCTTGTTTTGGGTTTTTGTTTCTGCCCATTTAAAAAAAAAAAAAACATTTGGTATCTTTCTGCAGACTTGGAGGATTCTCCTGACTTTGGTGAAACCTTTACCCTAGATCTGGTTGGCTCTGTTGTGTGGATGTGTGTGTGTGTAAGGCATCAATAGGTATATTAGATATACAGATTAATTTATTTTGAACGTTTTAATCCTTCTTTCCACTATATTTATAGCACATAAAGTGGTTAATGAGCTCTAAAATGTATAAAACCACAACATAAAACAATGTCCCTTCCCCTTGCTTGGGAAATATGTCAAACCCGCCCCCCAAAAAATTCCAAGAAGAACTTACAACACAAAATTCTGCAAAGAATGTATCTGGTTAACAGTTGGTAAAAGCTTGATTCCAGTGTTTGATATCACCCTAGAAAGATAAGAAGTAAATGGATGTAATTAGCTATGGCTCAGAGGAAAACAGAACATAATAGATGGGATGTTGTCTGAATTTCAACAGCTGAAATGATTTCCGGGAGAAAAATCCTCAAACTAATTTTCCCTGATTCATCATTCCCAATTACAGGTATTGCTTGACGTACGCTATGGTCCTGTAGGCCATAGTGGTCTTGTATAGAGTATTCAGGCAGCTGGACCCAATTGCCTTATTTGCTATGCCATTGTGCAGCTTGTTAGAAGAGAGGAACATTGGCCTACTGTTCTGTGCTCTTAAGCACTGCCAACAAAGCTGGCTGAAAGAAGATATAGTAGTTTGCTGACTCAGTAGTTGTTAGGTGACATGAGAGGCCAGAAAAACCTCACCTGGCTCTATAAAGCCTCCACCTCTAGCCTGGCTTCACAGTCTGTGCCAGCGGTCTTTAAGAAGAATACCCAACTGATGTCAGATTACATGTACCTTCCTTACCTGCTGCCTACCCAGAGCCAAACTACACAGTATTGACTGGCCCATCGGCCTTGACAGTACCTCAAAACAGCCAGTTTTCTGATAGTCTTTGAGTTCTGCACTTCAAAACTGGGAATATTTCAGCATTCCCCTCCAGGAGATGAATGTCCTGGATGCAGGTACAATTTATAAAGCTTATAATGCCCACAGCTCCCTAGGAAGGTTTAGTAAAGAGTATGTGGTGTGGCTATGTCCTGGGAAGGATGGTTGTTCACACTGCCCTTTCTTAAATGACAGGTTTGCCTAAACCAGGGGTGTCAAACATATGGCCCATGGGCCAGAACCAGCCCATGCAGGGCTCCAATCTGGCTTATGAGCAACTGGCTCTCATCTGCTTTCTGCATCACAGCTCCCTTTTGCCCAGCCCTCTCCTCTCCTGCTTCACAGAGGAAAGGAGAGAAAGAAAGACAAGCCTCCCTTCCCTCGATTGGCTGAGTGCTCCCCCACCTCCACCTCTTCCTTTGGGGAGGAAGGGAAGGGGAGTGAAAGAGCCAGAGAGAGAGGGAGGGGGAGGGAGTCCTGTGACATCTTTAAGACCAACAAAGTTTTATTCCAGGTATAAGCCTGTGTGTGCAAGCACACTTCTTCAGAGAAAAAGAGGGGGGAAGAGGGAGGGGGAGTAAAAGAGCCAGAGAGAGAGCCAGAGAGAGAGAGAGAGAGAGAGCCAGAGAGAGAGCCAGAGAGAGAGAGAGAGAGAGAGCCAGAGAGAGAGCCAGAGAGAGAGAGAGAGAGAGAGCCAGAGAGAGAGCTATACCAGGGCGCCTGCCTAAGGCGAGTCCGGAGAGGACGCCTGGGAGCAATCTCGTCGATGGCCGCGGAGAGCCGGCCATGCCAGTCCTCCACTAGCTCATCCAACGAGCTGCCAGGGGGCTTCGGCTCCCGCAATACCTTTGTAAGAGAACTGCTACTCTTCGGTCAGCAACTGAATGTCCTGGAAGGTTAAATTTTTCACCCACTGGTTTTTGAATGTTGTGGTTTCTAACAGCAGTAGAAAGAGTAAGAGTGCAATAGCACATTAAAGACTAACAAAATTTGTGGGGCCAGAACTCCAGAAGCCCTCCCACTGTTGCCCCCCAAGCACCTTTCAGGAAGATGGAACATGAGATGGACTGACTCATTAAAGAAGCCACAGCCCTCAGTCTGCAAGACCTAAGCAGGGCTGTTAATGATAGGATGTTTTGATTTATTCATAGGGTCACCATAAGTCAGAAGCCACTTGAGGGCACTAACTGCACACACAGGATGCCAAGCACTGCACATACAGGATCCAACCCCAAGTACTTTCTTCTCTAACAAAAGTTTGAGAGAGCACTGCCAGACAAGCAGAGCTGGATTTATGCACAAGCTAAGTAGGCTACAGTTTAGGGCCTCTGGGTCTTTTAAAAACAAGAAAAGTTATTAAACATTACTAAATCACCATTTTTGGTAATCATTCAGGGTCTCAGCACGCCTTAATCCATGCCTACATATAGAGGAAGAGGAACAGCACAGGTAGGGGAAAAGTTACACCCTTTCACCAGTACTATGGATAAGCCTGCAAAGTGCCTCTGACAGCACAAGGAAGAATAATCAGGCATTCATGTACAAATGCAAGCATCAAGGCAGTGCATAAACTATTCATATGGGCATTCTAACTGACATCAGGATGAATGGAAGAGCCATTTCCATTCCAAAGTGAGCTCTCAAATACAGCATCCAAATACAAGCATCAAAAGCGTTCTGCACAGTTTCAGTTTGGCCATTCACATTCCAATGAGGGTTCATTATCCATCTCATTTTATATCCCCCAAGCATTTGCTTTACAGCAAACAGCATGAGAAAGAGCACTTTAAATTGTCATGGCTGCAAGTATATGAAAGCTTATGAATTTTTGCAATTGTTATGTCTTGGAAGGAAAGATTGCAAGCCTCACTTCTCAGCTGGTACAACGGGATGTGGCTTGTGTTGTTGACAGTATTGCATGGAGACAGCAGTCTGATGACCCCATCTAAAGCCTTGGTTGTGGCCCAGCATCCTTTCATTCAGCCCCCTTTGGAAGGCTTCAGAGACCGCAATGAGCTGCTCCCAGTGCTTTAGGCAAAACTCCTAGGGGACCTATTCAGCACGGCTTCAAAGAGCAACAACCAGCCATGTCAGCCCATAACTAACAGCCATAAAACAATGAGAGTAAAACAACTGCAACAGGGAACAATTAAACTGGCAGCATTAAAAAAATGGCACTGCATTCTTTTCCTACTTTCATTCAGCCCCCTTTGGAAGACTCTTAGAAAATATCAGAGACAACAGCAGAATTACAAATGGCCTACTTTGTGTGTGTGTGTAAAGTGCTGTCAAGCTGCAGTCGACTTATGGTGACCCCGTAGGGCTTTCAAGGCAAGAGACTAACAGAGGTGGTTCGCCATTGCCTTCTTCTGCATATCCATCCTGGAATTTCTTGTGGGTCTCTCTGCTTAGCTTCCAAGATCTGATGAGATCAGGCTAGCCTAGGTGATGGGCCAAATGGCTCAGAAGCAGGAAGTAATTTCCATTCCACCAAGATCAAGGGGATTCCAGGGGAAAAACAGATGATACCATTGGATCCCTGACTGGGTATTCTCAGGAATTCCAATTCAGAACAGATTTAACAATTCCAACACTCCATAGTTTTGCTGTTATGAACTCTGGAAGGATAAAAATGACAGACACCTAATTTGCTCATCTTTCCCCCCTTCTAACAGTGCAGGGGAAAAGGTACTGCATAACGCTAGTAAAACCACACACTGTAGGAAGACATGAGCTTTCTCCAAGGAAATCATGGTTGCATTCATGGATCTTCCCCTCTTTCAGTAATCCTCGGCACAACCATGTGAGGTAGGTTAGGATATGGGAGAATGACTGCCCCCAGATAATCTACTGTGTTTAATGGCAATTGGGGTCTGAATATGCACCCCCCCCTTTCTGACATATTATACACTGTACCATACTAGCTTCCTTCTAATGCCTTATCTGACTTGGGTCCTTAGAATGAACTAAACATCACACTACATTTTACTGTATTTATTTATGTAGACCATTTCTATGCTGCCTCTCCAAAGAACCTGCTGGAGGCATGATACAAAAGTCAAAAATTAAACTCAGTGCTGCTTCAGAAAATGGCAACCTCGTCTCAAGTTCTCCTTCTCCATAACAGAAACGAAATGCAGTGTGTCTCAACATCATCACACTCAGTGGCTGCCACAGATGGGGGTGGGATATAGACAGTATGGTGGCATTAGACAAAGATAAATTTAAAGTTCCAGATTGGGACTGGGAGTACTCAGCCCATAGCCACCATTTTTAGGTGCCCGACGTTTATGAAATTATTTATTTACTTCATTTATAGACCACCTTTCTTGCTGAGTCTCAAGACAGATTACAAAATGTGACTAAAGAAAATTTAGACAGACAGTATAAGACATCCAATAAACAATGCAATAGGACTAGAATTACAATAGGGCTGCAATAGAATAAGGATTTATCATACTTCTGCTCCTATTTACAAGTAAATTTTCAAAACTGGGAGTCTCTATCTCTTGTCTCAGCCTGCCTCTGACAGAAAGCAACAGTGGACTGTTTATCACCAGTTACTACAAACTGCGACCCTCAGTATTAAAGATCAAAGTGCTTTGTTGCATGTGTTAAATACAACCACCCCATGCACTTCAGAATTTGCCTTCATTTTGGCGCATCGGGTCTAATATATTAAAAAATAGTCCAATGTCAATACCAGCAAACGTAAGATCTTAAGAAGAACCCTTTTGTATCAGAACACAAATACAGACAAAGGGCTCAATGCTCCTTGGTATTATCTAATAGAATCATACAGTTGGAAACAGCTCCACACACTGAGATTTGCCCAAAGACATCAGGCCCCATGGACAAAGTAATATCCTTACTATGTAAGGTCATGGCAAAATTGTCTCTGCTCTCCCCCAACCTACGCACACATCTCTGGTTTGTAAGATAACGTTTTATCGTTATTATGTACAACGAGGAAGAAAAAAATAATGTGCAAAATGTGATAAGATGAGCTCTGCTGGACGAGACCAAAGTACCATCCAGTTCAGTGTTGACTGCAGAGGCTGGGAAACTCTCAAACATGGCATTAAATTAACAGCCAACCTTGTTGCTTGTCCCCAGCACCAGGCATGCAGAAGTATACTGTCTCTGAATGTGGAAGTTCCATTGTATGGCTAACAGCAATTGATAAAACAGCTGCTAAACACAGCTGTTTTTTTAAATGAAAAAGGATAATTGGCTGTGGAAAGTTCTGTATGTATGGTTTCTCCAAAAAACTTCTAAGATAAAACCACCAGACTCTGTGACATGGGCTGCAGGGTGTACAGCATTACTTGACAGAAGTCGAGATCTACACACTAAACAAGATCTGCTCTCCTGCATGCTTTTCCTATACTGTGCTTCTATGTCCTCCAGTTCTTTGGACCAGA